TAAAGCACTGGATGACCATTAACAAGCTCAAATTAAATGATGATAAGACTGAGCTGCTCCCCATTGCGACCGCTCAGAAGCAAAAATCTGCAAATAACACTACATCCATTACTCTCTCAGGTGTGCGTATTGAGTTAGCTCAAACAGTGCGGTACCTGGGTGTCTACCTAGATAGAAGACTAACTTTTGAAAGTCATATTAACATGCTATGCAGGGCGATTTTTCTGGAGCTGCGCAGGATTAGTCAAATCAGGCCCTTCCTAACTATTGATACAACAAAGAGGCTGATGTCTGCATTTGTGCTATCACGCATGGACTATTGCAATGCTCTCATGGTGGGTCTTCCAGCTACGCTCCTGGATAAAATTCAAATAGCACAGAATAATGCGGCTCGCATAGTTCTCCGCAAACGCAAATTCGACCATGCAAAAACACTTCTGAGAGAGTTGCATTGGCTGCCGGTGCGTGCTCGCATAGAGTACAAAATCGCAACTTTGTGCTACCGCTGCTTACATGACCTGGCGCCGTCCTATCTGAAAGAGCTGCTGACGCCTTATGTACCCAGTAGAGAGCTCCGCTCATCCGATAGTGGCAAACTCTCGACACCACGTGTTTGCCTTGAGACTTACGGAAAGCGCACTTTCGCATTTGCTGGTCCAACAATTTGGAACGCCCTTCCTGTCGATCTTAGAAACAACCAGACACTGGAGTCCTTTAAAACAGATCTAAAGACACATCTATTTCGCAAATACCTTCTGGGATGATTGTCTACCTTATTTTCCATGTGTTGCTGTGTTGCTTGGTGTTGAAATGGCCAGAAAGACTTTGATATTGTATGCTTGTAATTAGTTTTTGTAGTGTTGTGTTTGTTTTAAATGTGGTGAATTATAGATTGTTTTTTGTTGACTTTGTACCGCGCTTCGAGCCTTTGGGGATGAAGCGTGTTTTTTTTAAATGAACTTTATTATTATTATTATAATTACGGCATTTTTAAAAATTAACCTGAGAGGCATATGTTGGCTGAAGTTTCTTAAGTCCGGAATATCCTGTAAAGGTTAAAAATTTTAAAAATCGACAAAAAGTGTTTTTTTAAAATACCTCACAACAATGGATTCTTAATTTTTTCCCTTTCTGTTTGTCAATTTAAAGATCATACAATCGCAACAATTGATGAATACAATCGAGTTGATTTGCGGTCGGGGGACTGTCTCGGCGGCTGCTTCCAGTGTGCCGCTTCGCAGTCCAGTAATTCCGCTGGTCGTGTTGAGGGAAGGGTAGGGTGAGGGAGTACTCATGGAAGGGTCTGATGAGCTTCGGCATTTTCTTAAGATATTAGATTAGATTAGAATGTATTAAATTTCATTACATCAGATTAGAATGTATTACATTTCATTACATTAGATTACAATATATTACATGTCATTACATTAGATTAGAATGTATTACATTTCATTACATTAGATTAGAATGTATTACATTTAATTACATTAGATTAGAATGTATTACATTTCATTACATTAGATTAGAATGTATTACATGTCATTACATTAGATTAGAATGTATTACATTTCATTACATTAGATTAGGATGTATTACATTTCATTACATTAGATTAGGATGTATTACAATTCATTACATTAGATTAGAATGTATTACATTTCATTACATTAGTTTGGGTTAAAATCTAACCTAAGAAGGTACATTAAAACAAATTAATTATGTCCTGAAAATTGAAACCTGATCCATCCAAATGTTTAGCGATTTTTACAACAATACCACGAAACGACATTTTTCTTAACAATACCATGAGACGACATTTTTCATAAACACGACACCGCGAGACGACGTTTTTCACAAAAACAATAACACTAGACGACATTTTTTTTTACAACAATACCAAGAGACTGCATTTTTTATAACAACGACACCACTAGACGACATTCTTCATAACAACGACACCACTAGACGACATTCTTCATAACAAAGACACCACGAGACGACATTCTTCATAACAAAGACACCACGAGACGACATTTTTCAAAACAACAATACCACGAGACGACATTTCATAAACCAAGAATTACAAATAATGTGTAAACAACTACATCTTATGGCTTAAAATAACAAAAACGTGTTCGGAGGTCTGCTGTTACAAATCGACTGATAACGCTAAAAGTATTTGTAGCATTATGTCTAACTGTAAATAGATGTTCAATTTGTCATTTGTTTTACGACTGTCCCGATGCAAGATTTGATGTGACCTTGACTTTGGCTTAGAAACAAATTGCCCCGAAACAAATGAAAATAAAAGACATCCGGTAACGCCATATTTTTTTTTTGGTCCCGGGTCTCTTGTCGACTCCAGTCCACCACTCAGTACATTTGATATCCAGTATTATCCAGTAGTATCCATGCATAAACAAATAATTCCTCTAAATTAGAAAGTTTTTTTTCTGTATAAAAGAATGCCTCTCAGACAGAAGAGTTCTTCGTGTAACGTCAAATCATTTATATATTTTAAGATTTTTATATGTCCTGTTTTTTACATTTGGAAACGAAAATGTTTACCTTAAAAAGCTTAAAGTTAAAGGAAATTAAGCGTTTTAGGAAAATGACTTCTCCACGTGTGTCTTTTCATGAATTATTGATGTAGTTTTAATTAGAATCCCTCAACTGATTTATTGATCTAAATAACTGAATTTTTTTTTAAGCGTCTAGAGAAATGCGACTGCATTACCATATCGCTTTGAATGATGTAAACGTCACTCTACGACCCACCTATGATGTACACGTCACTCTACGACCCACCTATGATGCACATGTCACTCTACGACCCACCTTCAATGAATGATTTTGAAAATAGAAATTAAAAAAAAACAACAACTAAAAAACCAAAGCCTTTCGTATAAATCCTTTATTTCCTTTTTTGTTTGCATTTCCGTCATAGTACGTGAATTATCATTTGTGTGATTGTAGCAACTGATTTTTGGTATGGGAATGGTTTTGTTATCAATCTTAGCGCAGGTAAAGCCTAATAGCTTAAAGATATATTTAAAGCCAAACGCGTCGCAAATACAAAGCAACGGCAACACAGTTAATCTTCACACCAAAACAGGCATCCATTGAACAAGTCATATTTCCTCCATCTTCAGATTTTCGGAGGTGGGGTTGGTGGAGCTGAAAATTTAATAGAATGTGTTGTCACCGTAAGCCAGTCTATGTGCCAAATTTCAGTTCGATAGGATGACGGGAAGAGGGTCAGTTACCCGTCCGAAAAGTTTTGCTTTAAACGCAAAAAAAAAAAAAAATACGAGTTAAAGCGGTGTTAAAATGAAGGATAAAACATGCATCTGATACATTATTTAAAAAGTCACTAAGCCATGTTGTCGTCCTCTACATAGCTCATGGGGCGTCAGAGGCGTAGCGAGGGTGTTTGGCGCCCGGGGACAAGATCCATTTTAAAGCATCCCCTTTTCTTTTTGTTCAACTCTCAAACCCATTATTTTTACCAATAATATGATATCAAAGCACATTTTGGCGCCCCTAACTAGCTTACGCACGGGGACATCTGTCCCCCCCTGCCCCCCCCCCCGCTACGCCTCTGACGGGCGTTCCAGGGACCCGCCCCTATTAAACTTCTAACTAGCCGGGCCACTGAGAACAAATAAGATAAAATATGAAAACTAAACTTAAAATTAATGATTTAAGAAGTACTTCTCAGACGCGTTGTGTCTATTAGGATCCCTTTCACGACTTGATCTCAGCGTCCACCAATCTACTGAAAGTCTATACTGACGAGGCTTTTAGTTTTGCCTTCCTCAAGTTCATTTGCAGACATACGTGCTTCCAGAGGCGTCATTTCAGGGATGTTATTTCGGGGGGAGGCAAAACCAAAACCTGCTCGGCGTGTTAAGTTATTGCTGGAGGTGCCACAGTACATAGCAATTTAAACAAAATCTGCAGATTGGGGGTTTGGGGGGGTGGGGGGGAATGACGTCCCTGCGGACTTCAATGAACAAATTAGTCTGATTTGGAACTCCATGTCAGAAACTAAGGGGCCATAAGGCGCCTCATTAGACCCAGACTGAGATGGATTGATGGTGTAGACCCAGACTGAGATGGATTGATGGTGTTGACCCAGACTGAGATGGATTGATGGTGTAGACCCAGACTGAGATGGATTGATGGTGTAGACCCAGACTGAGATGGATTGATGGTGTAGACCCAGACTGAGATGGATTGATGGTGTAGACGCAGACTGAGATGGATTGATGGTGTAGACCCAGACTGAGATGGATTGATGGTGTAGATCCAGACTGAGATGGATTGATGGTGTAGACCCAGACTCAGATGGATTGATGGTGTAGAGTTGGATTTACATCAGCTGAAGAGGGTTGGGGGGGGGGAGGGAGTCAGTGCACAGTGATAAAAAGACATCGCTCGGTCTGAATGGAAGGGGTGACACCCATACATGACGTCATGCGTCTAAAAAGGGGTGGGGGTGGAGGGTATTTTGTTTTAATGTGTGACAAGGGCTAAGCAATATGACGTCACGTCAAAAATAGAAAATTATTGGGGGGGGGGGAAGTTGCGCTTATAACATTAAATTAGAGACATTTGGAATATTGTTCTATTCATGCAACAGTTATAATAATTTTGTTTTTAAACTACGATCACTGAGAGAATCCGTCCAGGTAGGCGAGGTCCGAAGAATGGCGTCTGATCAGGTTACAGGACGTCAAGGAGGAGGAGAATTAGGGGGTTAGGACTTTTGACAGTCGTGATAATTTATGTCCCACTGGGGAGACTGGAGTCTTAGAATTAGGGGTACAACATGACGTAAGCCATTTGATGAAATTGTCCAAAGCTAAGGCGGAAGGATGCCATATATATATATATCAGTCAATAAAAACATTTTAAATTACTTAATAACTTTTTAATCAGATGATTTTAGTTACTGAAAATAGACATACAAATTAAAAGTACACAAAGTCAATCAATATTTTATGATCAATCACTTTTATTGATTTCGTCATTTTTTAAAATCAATGCTCAAGTATAAAAAAATCTATATATAAAATTTAAAAAATAAAATTGTGCTTTTTTTAACATGTTTTTATATTTCGTCATAGATTTGTAGCCCTACCTAGAGTTGATTGGTGAATGTTAATAGCTGAAAAGTTTAAAGTATAGGCTACTTGTCTGTTTTATCAAAACTTTACCATACTGGCTGCTCAAATTGTGTATTTAGATTTCTTGATATTAATTCCTTTTAATAAGTTAATTTAGAGCTACTCGTGAGCAGCAGGTCGGACAATAAAATTTATTAAACCAAAAATATTATAATGTTTTTTATTCTAAACATTTTTAATTACTAAACACAATGCTATCAAATAAAGAAAATAAAAAATATTAAAATATTATATAAAGATAAAATGAAAATAAAATAGGCAGACTGTAGCCTCTATAAATATTTACATGATTGAATCATAATGATATGTAGGCATGTCATATTATTTGTTTCACTAACTAAGATGTAAGTGTTTAGTATGTCATTGATTTATTTTATTATTTTAATTCCTTAAGTTTTTTGTTTGTTTTGTTAACCACAAAGTTAAATCTTATCTTTCTACTTTAAATCCAAAATCTATTATAGACAATCAATGTTCTATTATTGACTTTATATAACATTACCACTTCAATTTATAACAGTCATAAACCATATCATAAAATAATAAATACTTAAGGCCATTAGGTAAAAATATCACAGCTGGCATGGAGACAGATTTATATATAAATGGAGTGTTAAGCATAACACAAATATATTATTATCACAGTTAACATATGGAAGGTATATACATTTTTATAACAAATTTTTAAAAATGTGTTCAAAATAAATTATAGACCTACTTTGTTTTTCCATAACTTTAATTTTAAACATAACATTTTTAAAGGTCTTTTAACCATTCTATATCAGCAATACTTTTTCAAAAAAAATTTGACTACATAAAAAAAAGTTCAACTCATTTTAATTATATTTTTTTCTTCTTCAGTTTAGAAAGTCTAAAAATAATCATTCATTAAAGTTTTAACACTCTGTTTCTCATTTCTAAGTTTTCTTTATTTACAAACCGTGTTTTAATCTTGACCAAACAAACAAAAAAGAGTTCTAGGAAGGGAGACCTGAGGGTGGAATACAATTGAATACATTGAATATTTGTATCCCCAATGTTAAGAAATTAAAAAAAAACTATGCTGCAATAATAGGACACCAATTAATTGTATGAATTAGTAATTTTATAACCAGTTTTAATCAATGTTATCTATTTTATAGTATTTTTTGGGAGTATAGCTAGTCTGCGTTAGGGAATAATTCAATTTGTTGAAGATAAATTCTTTGATTTAATGAAGACTTCATATTTAAATTTAAAAGAATTTACATTACTTACTTTCTTACAGACTACAAAGTTTTATTGTTTATAATGTTCAAGTCATCTTACTATCTCAATTTTTTTTTAAATCTCCAAAGAAGAATTGTCTTAATTTAAAAAAAAATAAAAAATTTTAAACTTTTAAAAATATGTGAATCTATAAATTAATTAGATATTTAATTTTCAATCTCTATATTTCTGAATTTTAACAAAATAATTTAGATCACATAACCCACATAAAAAAAAATTCATTTTAAATTAAAATATGAAAACCTGAACTTTAAGTATCAGCATTTATGGCTTTTTAAATATTTAAAGTGCATTTTCCTTGAGGTAATCATTCATTGTTTATGAAGGGCTGATGCAACTAATTGCACAAATACATGCTAATCATGAGACAGTTATTGGGAAATGCCTGGTGTTATATTAAAAAAATAGGAATTACAAAAATGATTTGATCATCATGTTCCAAATTTATTTTGATTCACTGAAGATTTATTTCCCTTTTCGTCCAGCACTTATGTTGCTTGTACTTTATTTAATTCTCCGGGGATGGCTATTGTGCATCGACAAGTGAAGATAGCTTCTCGCCCAGATCCAGAGATGTGATCACATCCCCCAGGAGTGACATACTGCACAATGTTAGAAGGAATAATAAAGTTTTGAGTAGTTGAAAATTTCATAATAATGTTCATAGCAAACAGTACTGTTAATGAGCAATTGCGGATTAAAGAATAGAGGGGGTTCCCTTGTTCTCAACTACCTCTTAAAATGAAAGATTTAAAGCAGTGGTTATTAACCTGGGTTCGATCGTCCAGGGGATTCGGTTAGTTAGTCCAAAAAAATCAGGAAAAAAAAATCATATCTTATTTTTCCTATTAAGAAGGGTTCGGTGAATGCGCACATGAAACTGGTGGGGTTCGGTACCTCCAAAAAGGTTGAGAACCTCTGATTTAAACTCAGTGTAGTGGAACGATATTTACAGAAAACAGATGACTTGGATTTAAATACAACCGAACTCGTCTAAAGAGAAAATTTGATTGAAGGCCAAAAACAAAGAGGATTGTTATTGTTGTTGATTTCGTAATATGAAAATAGTTTCTAAATCGTACTGATCAAAAACAAAATATTGATAAAAGGATGAGACAACATTAGTTATGAAAAAAGATCAACAAAATTTATCCATGAGCTCATACTTTAATGTTTGCATTAGAATTTTAGACTGGTGGGTTTGCACCTGAGACAGATGTGTTGGCACTTGAGACTGGTGGGTTTGCACCTGAGACAGATGTGTTGGCACTTGAGACTGGTGTGTTTGCACCTGAGACAGATGTGTTGGCACTTGAGACTAGTGTGTTTGCAAGTTTGACCAGATACCCTCATACATTTTTTTAAAAAAATATATGTATAAAAGATTAAAATTTTCCTATGGATGTCACTCATCAAAAAACACAAAGAACACAACTGACTCTTACCGTATCATTATTGGCAGGTAGACATCTCACCAAATTACTGGACTGTATCACCGTGAAACTCAGTTTAAGTAAAGGGCACTTGTCCAAGCCCAAAGTCAGTGATTGGCAGCCATCTGCATCGGGTAACTCTTCAGAACCTGTAAAATAAGGGTCCATGAATTGTCTAACAAATCTATTTTTATTGTTTTCCATCTGAAACTTTCATTTACTTTTCAAATGTTTTCACACGCTTGTAAAAATTATCTTACTAAAAGCTGTGTTGTTGTTTTTACACTGATTTCATTGAAAATTTGATTTTTCACTCTGCAATTATCATTTTATGCTCTCCAAAATATATTAAGAAATATCAAATGATGATGATCCTCTTTAGTCCCCTTTGGTAAAGACCCAATCAAATAAAAATCAAGCAGAAAGTTGTATTTGATAATGGATGGTAAAAGAAAAGGTAGTTTAACAGGTAGAGAGAAGAAGAATATTATATTTATAAAATAATGATACTATAAAGTTTATGAACTGAAAGCAATCACCTGTAATTATTTTAATAAATTAATTTACAAACAAAGATGCTTTAATTTAATAGTAGGAATTACACTACATCCTATTATTTTTAAAGACCGTGTTTAAAAAAAAAATCAAATTTTCAATAAAGGAGAATTTTAAGCATTAATTTGTGTGTGTGTGTGCATAAAACCAGTTCTTCACGATATGAAACGTTGTACAAAGACAATTTTGTTCAAAATCGTACCCATGGAATCGCTCACCTAAAACCGTAGCCTGCTTCGGTAGAACTGGGACCGGGCACGCCCACTTCAGTATTACCATCTTGGTACGGGATTCGATCTCTCCAAAAAACAGCTTCTTCTTGCTGTTGTAGCTGCACAGGTCCGTCTGCGGGAATACGATTCTCGTGGCGTTTGCTTTGCGACACACTGAGAGGAGGCGGGTGACATTCTCAACGGACACAAACTCATGCCTTTCGTCCTCTCTGCACACACCCTGGTAAGACGTCGGGTCGGGCTCTGCGTAATTCACATATCCCTGCACACCTTAAGATTCATCATAAAACAACGAGGTATGACTTATAATTTCTGAAGAAAATATGTGCTTGATCAAATTTAAGTCACGTTTAAAACATCCTATAAAAAAATTGTAAACATTCGTTTATTTGTGTATGATTAAATGAATAATTAAAGATCTCATTTTACCATAAAAAAAAAAATTATTATCACGCTTTAAAAAAATAATTCAGGCTTTAAAAAAAAAATTACTAAGTAAAGGGTTTGTAGATATTTATACTATGTATGTGTCAACGGTGCCTTTAAGCTGCGTGACTGCACGGCTGCGCAGCAATCTCACAGACGCCGCGCAGCAGTTTTGAGTATCCGCGCAGCAAATTTCCAAGTAAGTGTGTGTTTGTGTTTGTGGGCTGTAAAATTTTGCACACAAAAAAATTGAATGCTGTAAAACTTTGCATACAACTGTATGATTTTGCACACGAACCAACAAACCTTAGAGGCAACTTTGGTATGCGTTTAGTTAGAGTTAGAGTTAGAGTTTTATTTGTCAATCCTATCTTAAACTAGGCCTTTATGACTTTATGACAGTGGCTCTCAACCTAGCTAATGCCGCGACCCTTTAATACAGTTCCTCGTGTTGTGGTGATCCCGAAACAAACAATTATTCTCGTTGCTACTTCATAAATATGTGTTTTCCGATGGTCTTAAGCGACCACTGTGTAAGGGTCGTTCTAGAACCGCTGCTTTATGATGATGATATTTTATCTAGGATAAATATGAATAAATGAAATTCACCTTTATACTTTTTGAATGTGTTTATTTATAAACCCTAATAATATAGGAAAGCTTTACAATCTCTTAACAGAGAGATTTAGAGTTTTATCCCCCCTGCCACCAAACGCACACCAAAACCGACTTTTATGAAAATATGAAAAAATAACATAAAGACACAATTTTAATGTTCAATATGGGGCTTCCTGTCTCGTAAGCCTAGTTTTTTCCCCCACTTATTTAATTTGTTATAATTCAAAATAGAATGAGTGTCATGTTATGTTATAAGAGACAAATTCTTAGCTTATAATGATTAAATTGTTGTCTCGGCTTGTCACAAACAGACTTACTCAGAAGCAGACAAGAACACAACATAATGGTTGACAACATCTTTGTTCCAGAGGTTCTCGTACACGCCAACACAGCAGTGGTCGCTTCGGTACAGCTGGGTACAAAATGGCTAGAATCACCTTTCAACTTTCATTTGAAGTGCTTAAAAAATATGTGTTTAACGGTAGCCACGCGAACTTGGGACCGACTTAACATACTTATGGTATACGGCTAAGACACGGCTATAAATAGTAGCCCAGTAAGCAAGGGGGGACGACTTTCGAATGGGTAAACAGTTGGAGCTTTTGTCTAGAAGAATACTTAGCCCCGATCTACAGTAGAAGGCTCGGTAAGGGCAGATCAATAGTCTACTCTCTCTTTCTCTCTCTCTCTCTCTCTCTCTCTCTCTCTCTATATATATATATATATATATATA